TTCTGGTTAGGCCTAGAAGAAGATGGGGAGAGTGGCCCCCACCCAAGAGCCATACTATTCAGTGTGACCTGAATTCTGCCCAGACCTCAGCAGGGCAGAGCCACCAGAAGTCAGTATTGGGGGGCCATGACCCTGGAGAGTGAGGCTAGTGGCTCTCCCATGAGGGATGAGGACCAGTTAGGAAAGTGGGAGGAATGGCTCCTTCCATACCATTCAGTCATTGATCAGACTTCTAAACCCTGGACCTCTTAACTGATTACTCAGCAGGGTGCAAGTTCCACAGGGTGGTGTGACAGGAAATCCAGAGGATGAGGCTGTTGCATTCCTCTCAGCTGATGATATATCGAGGAGATTGTTCCACCCAAGAAAAAGGGCATCCTCTCTGAAATCAATAAAAACATATTTTTAAAAAACGTTCCATTCTACATGTCAAGCAATTTGCAAACATTATCTCTTTTGACCCTAGGACCCTATAAGGTAAGGACTCTTACCATGACCTTCATTGGCAAACAAGACAATTGAGACTTAGCGCAGGTTACATTTGCCCAAGGGCACCCGGTAAGTGATAGAGCCAGGGTCTGAGGCCAGACTGCCCGAGTCCAGAGCCCAAAACTCACTCACAATTGTTTACAGCCGCGTTTTTGTGTTTTTTTTTTCTTGCATCCACAGGCAAGCATGACTCACAGCGAACTGCGAGGTCTTATGATTCACTGAAACTCTTCTTGTTGAAATCACCGTCCCAGCTCCCCTTTGAAACATCCAACCACCTGAAAATGCTCACTCTCTGTTTTGCTATTCAAAAGAAGGGACGATTCTCTATCTTGATGGCTTCGCTCCAACTAATTCAAGGTTTGGGCTGTATTTTCGGCCCCGCTGTACCCTCACCCCCACCCCCGCCATGTTCTGAGCAGGCCTCTGTCCATTGGAAATCTTAGAAGTGGAAAAAAATTCAGTCCCAAAGGCCACAGGTGCTTTTGACCCTGACGCCAAGCAAAACTGGGTCAAACCGAATGGACTGAGAGGATGGCAGGGTTCAAGGTCGCTTCTGAAGTCTGTTCCTTGAGCTTAAGCTCTGAGTGACAGGAGCTACTCACTGATGAGGGCCTTTCGCATCTGTCACCTTGGTTCTCAAAGTGCCGTCTGCTGAAGGCTGGGAACGTGTGGGCGGCGTCATTTTAGCGCCACGAGCCAGTCAGAGGACGGTAAGTAGCCTGAGCTCGCACTCACGTGTGGAATATAATGAACAACATAAACTGGTGAACAAAATAGATCCAGAGACATAGAAGCATCGGACAGAGCGTCAAACCTCAGAGGGAAGGCAGGGGAAGGCAGGGTCAAGGGCACATGCCCAGGTTGCAGGCTCCATCCCCAGTAGGGGGCGTGCAGGAGGGATGAGGGGGGTGGTGTGGGGGGTAAGAGATCAACCAAAGACCTTGTATGCATAGAAGCATAACCAATGGACACAGACAATAGGGGGGGTGAAGGCCCTAGCTGGGGGTTGGGGCCGGGCTGGGAGAGGACAATGGGGGAAAATGGGGGACATATGTAATACTTTCAACAATAAAGAATTTAAAGCCCTGGCTGGTTTGGTTCAGTGGATAGAGCGTCAGCCTGTGGACTGAAGGGTCCCATGTTCAATTCCGGTCAAGGGCACATACCCAGGTTGCGGCTTCATTCCCACTAGGGGAGCATGCAGGAGGCAGCTGATCAATGATTTTCTCTCATCATTGATGTTTCTCTCTCTCCCTTCTCCTGTGATATCAATAAAAATATATATTTTTAAAAAGAGCATGAATTCATGGTTTTACAAAACCTAAGGAATCTACTATACAAATGGATTCCCCTTACTACCCAGAATGCTTTGGAAAGACTACAAACAAAAAATCTCAAGGTTAATCTAAAATTATTTCATTTTATTACAAAGTTATATTACTTGGAAGATGTTTCCAAATGACTCCAAGTTACAAGACATCAGTGTGATATTGGTGCTATAATTGTCCGCACAGATAGTGTTACTTATAAAAGTTAACGATGCACCATCGTACTGGTGGGAGGTTGCCAGGCAGATGGGAAGTTTGGGGCTTTGTTTTTTGCCTTTTCCTTTTCTCCCTCCACAAATGAGAAGCCGCCACCTGCCTCCTGGAATATTTTTGGTTGGAATATTTTTACTCTTCTTGGTTGAAAACATGAGCTTAAACAAAGCAACATGAAAAAACACTCGATTCTGAGCTGAAATAATCATCTCATGTATATGTGACAAGCTTTGGGGTAACCATTCGATTGATTTCTCAGTCTGTTTCTTTTGTGACCCTATAATCCTCTTTCCAATGTTGCCTGCCCCGTGTGGCCACAAGCACTCGAGAGCCCAGGAAGCACAAAGGCCCCAATTTTCTTGGCGTTAACACGACACAAATGCAAATTAGGGACAAAGGAAGGTTGTGTCCACGCTTGTAATGGCCATTGCTCTGTTCTGCGCTTCGCTTCGCGATTCCTTGTTTTAAAAACACCCATTCACCTTAGCCGTTGACTTTTCAATGGGCTATCCGCAAAAGAGAAGAATAAATTCTTTCCCTTAGATTCTGGATTGCACTCAATTACTTTGAACAGATAACGTGAAGTCTTACAAGAGTCTTACAGAATTCCCGATTGCGGAATTTGTTCTTGAGCGATGGAGTCTCATTTTGCCTCTTGCACTTTCAATCTACGCTTTGCGGTAAATCAAATGACCTGTATTGTACCCTCTTCAGAATCGTTGGCTGGTTAGCACGATGTCTAGCTGGGGTGGAAACTATTCTTTTCTTCATCCGTGGCATCATTCTTTCCAGAGTTGACATGGTGTGCAAGCAATTGCTCGTGTATCAGCCAATCCATAGCGTGAGCAATGGTAGGTGAATCCCTTCCTTTTTATAGATTGTCGTTTCCTGATTGCCAAGAAGCGATGCCTGCACAGCGACCCTGGTTTGGAGGGGAGGAAACACAGGCGTAGGGAAGGAGAGGAGCTGCCTGGCCGACCGTAGAATTGATCTGGCTGGCAGAACAGGTCTCAACACCTCCCTCCTTTACGAACGCCTGGAAATAGCAACGTGCATGTTAGGGTTTTGTGTAATTATTCAGTGGATGCCCAGAATGTGTAAGCCCTCCACCTCTCTGTGGATTTATTTTATGTCGGAGTGAAAGTGACCTGATGGTCCTATTCCATCAATGTGACATATTGCATTATTTGTGGGAGGGAGCGGGGAGCCAGAAGACAAGGGAGACTGATCAGATGTACTGCCGTCCACGGGATGACTGACAGTCACACACTCAGACCCAGGACCGGGCGGAGGGAACCTTCCGGTTTTATTGTTTATCAGAGCACCGATCCTGGGTGAATTTAACAGGAGTTTGGCAAATAAATATACGAGTGAAGGAGATGCTGTAAGTGGTGTCAGAGTAACCTGTATTTTGGAAGTAATAAATATTTTGAGTTTAAAAGGTGTCAAAACGTCAAACACGATGAGGAATGACTATGGACCTAACTCCAGATGCTGCAGCCACCTTCCAACGACAGGAGTAACGAAGCGAGACGGAGTTGAACACCCGACCCCAGAAATGGACCGGGAGGCGGGGTCCTAATTAGAGCAAGAACCCAGGAAGCCAGACAGCCCTGTGTTTGCGGGAGCAGGCGGCGCA